CCCACTCGGAAATATGACCATATATGGGCTCATGTTCATGCAAATGGCGCTTCCAACTAGGCCAAGCCGAATCACAGAGTTATCACGGCCGATCAATTGCAGATGTTCTACTCAGCGCCTTGGCCCTGTGGAATTTGGGGGCCGCTACGTGTCTCAGCGAGCGATGTCGTGGCCGGCAAAAGAGAGAGAGAGAGAGAGAGAAGCAATCCATTGCTCAGCTGGCGTTACTCTTTACGGCTCTTCCTGCTCCATACCCAACCATCCAACTCGCACACTCTGACACGATGCTGACAACAGGCCTATGCAGGTGTCCCGGGAAGAAAGAATGAATGTTGTTGGCAAGGATTCCGTGTGGCAGGCTCCATCTCCCACATTCGCACTCGTACAACCTCCGTCCACCTCGTGGGGTTTTCGGCCATTTTAAGGATGCAGTGCAGCCAATTGCGATGGTCCCGTTGGCGATTCAAGCCGCCATCTCCTAATTTTCCATCCCAACTATCTAGCCCATTTCGCCGCAATCAGCCGATTTGCTCCTCAACCAACACTAGCGTTGGGCTGCGAGCATCACGGCCTTTTCCTGAAGGCGAAGAGTGTATAGCCCAGACAACCTTTAGTCTTTTTGGGAAAAGTGAGGGTGGAGGGGGGATGACAATTGTAAGATGGTTCTTGCACACAAGTGAGACGACCTAACCACCATGCCTGCCCAACAGGTAATTACAGCTCTCAGATATGGTACGGCATCCATGCCCATGACTCCATGCGAGACTAGTTGTAGAACGCTCAGTTCTCTCCCTGGTACGTGCCGCGGCTGGCACATGGCAACTCCACCCCTCCACTTCCAACCCCTTGCCCTGACACATTCGCCGACTGGGTGAAATGTACATCCGGATGCCATAGTCCCCGTCGGTTGAGCAAGGCAAGAGATCGACAGGGCATGCCATCCTTGGACTTCTTTCGGGGCAGCCACAAGTATCCGCGTGTGCGTGCGTGCGTACGTGCATGTGTGCTCGTTCTTGTGCGCAGCCGAACGAACTGCGCAGTTCCCAAGGTAGGCCAAGGGACAGCGCCCGGACCAAGCAGCGAGTGTTCAAGACTGGCTGCGGGATCGGATCCCTAACTCTTGGATCGAAGCGAGATCATTTTTCTTGGTGTGCGAACCCCGGCAGAGAAACGCATGATACTGTCGATACGAGAGCCAGCCGCACGCGCAAAACTGCCCAGGGAGAACCGAATCGGACCAGTCAGGACGGGTTGTTGTTGTTCTGGAAATCTAGACCTGCTTCCAACCCCACAAGCCTCATCCATGCCACGAGGGTTTGACGACACTACCTAATATTAACTGAACCTACCGGCTACGCCCTTGGCTACGGTACACTAATAATTTGGAAATTATAGCGTACCCTCATGTACATTGCAAGTATCGCCCTATGGGAGCATCTGCACAGCGGGACCTTGCATATGCCTCCCCAGGCATTTGCTTTTTGTCATGGTCGTTCCTTTTTGTGTTTTTTTTTCCTTTTCACCGGCTCACGCCTATCCTCACCTCATGCAGCCGGCATTGTTGATGTGCCAATCCCGGGACTCCGCTCATGCCCTATGGCGGTAGGGCAGCCGGGTCTGTTCCCTGACGCCGACCTGTATGTAGGTACGGTATGGTAGGTATGCACATGTGTTTGATGGGACGAGAGGTGCATATAGCAGCATTCATTAATAAGAATGTGTCCAGCTGCGTGCCCACCGTCTGTCTCGCTTCGCAGTTGATCGGCCGTTTTCATCACCACTCAGGTAGGTGCAGAATAGTTCTTGCGTGGCTTCGGCCTTGTCTCAGGTACTCGGTCGCAAACACAATCAATCTTACTATGTAGGGATGGGACGCACGGTCTGGCGAGGCCGGCCCCCCCCATCCACGATCTCTGGGCGGCACTTCTCCATATGATATGAGCATGTGCTTCCGACACCTACATCATATCATATCATATCGTACCGTATGGGCCCAGCTACGACATACATTAGCTCACTCCAACGTCGTTCGGCCGTCCGCCCTTGTCCTTGGCCCGCTGATGGCAGGGATGTCGTTAGCGAGCGTGTGTATCCATTGGTACAGTACACCCATCGTCTTGGTAGCAGCAGAGACCCCGGCAGACGCCGTGCCCACACCTTGCGTCCAGCCGGAGGCACCATACTACCACCCTCTGGGATCGGAGGGTGTCACTGCGGGTTGTAGCCATAGCCCTTGTCTGGAGATGCAGGATGACCCAAAGCCTCCATCGACGAGATCAGGCCAGATACACCCCGTGCCGGCCTGCAAATACCAGCTCAATAGTCGCCCATCTCCTTCCGCATTCCGTCGTCTATTGTGCGGCTAGCACGCGGGCGTTTGTGCTCCAATTTGCCCAGACCGCCCGCCAGCCCCTGTGATTGATCCCTGGGGGCCTGTAAGGTACAGGGCTTCGGGCTTCTCCCCAGGTACCTACGTTCGGCCGCCGGCACCCCTACAGCGGCCAGGTATCTCCAAGGTACCGCCTGTGGGCTGGCCCAGATGATGTGGTATCGTCAAGCGCAACGCAGCGAAATCCCCCAAGGCCAAGTCCCCGTTACACAAGAATCACCAATGTCCCTTTCGTCTGCAGCACGTCTCAGGCGGGCTCAGAGCGTCATCCAAGAGCACTCCTGCTGAGCCGGTAGTTTAATTGTGGCATCATAGCGAATGTCACTATCTGCGACTAGCTGAAGCGCAAGCCACTCTCCTCTCGTGTTCATCCCACTGCGGGCCAAGCTTTTTTTAACTGAGCAATCCGTATTCGATTAATACATACTTCTCGGATCGGCCCCGGAGATTTCCCTGCCAGAGGAGCATCGACGGGCGGACAGAACCCTCTTTCTCGCTACCAACCGTACTATAATTAATGGCCCCTCCTTCGGGGTGATGAGGATTGTCGTCGCGTCGCATGTGACGTCTCCAGACCTCACTGCCCATGTCCGCCTCATCTCATCTCATCTCATCTCCCTCAGGCTCAGTTCAGGTTGGCTCCAGATAGGTAAGACACAGGAGGGACACCTGACAGCTACAAGAAGGCACAATGTTCAACGCTACCGAACCTGGAAACGTCCTTTCCTGCTAGAGCTGCACATGCGTCAGTAGCTTTCCCGAGCCCACTAAAAACGGAGAATTCCCTTCGGGGGGAAGAGGCGGGCAGGCAAGCAAGGGTGAGAGGAGGGCCCTTTCACGCTCTCTCAGGAGTCCAAGGGGGGGTTGGCGTGGAAGGTCAACCCGCAGCATGTGCGATATATCCACCCCCTCCGACCCTCCGCGTCCTCTCTCGGCTCCCTCTTGGTGCCTCTTGCAACGGCGGGCTGACGCATGTCGCTAGCTGTCGTAGGGAGGTACGTATGTAGGAGCGAACTGGCGAGGGCGGTTCGTTCATGCCATGTACGTCGCTGGCTCCATCGAGGTCTGTCTGGCAGGATATCCACTCTGGACAGACAGTTGCCCAGCCTTGTCTCTGAAGGAGCTCAGCTTTGGATAAATTACATGCCAGTCATCTCAGTCAAACCTCATTGCCGGGTGGGCGCACGCACATGGAAGCGAGACCTGTTTGAGATTCTCGAACATGATGGAGCTGGGCGCCCGCCCTCTCCATCAATCTTGGGGGAGGAGATTGGCCCCATTGTCTTCCCCGTGCTTGTCCCTCTTTGTTACCGCTTTTCCATGTTCCAGAAACCGACTCGTTCCTGCTACGAGGTGATGATAAGTTGAGACAACGCCTCGAAACCGTTGCGACGGACCAACATCCTATAGCACAGGGCGGGACAATACTCCTTGCAACCCAGCCGTCCTCCTCTTGCTCCTCCTCCTCCTCTTCCTCCTCCCCACCAGTCCATCCATCGGATCCGTCGCTGTACCCAAACGCCCAAAGACCCTTTCATGCTGTTGGCCCCCTCCTCTCCCTTCCCTTGCTCACCCACGGGCCCCATCGATCACGGCAGCAGGCGTCATCAGGGGTGAGGATATGCATGACGCTATCACACCATGCTCACTTTCAAGGGTTCCCTCCTCATTTTAAATCACCCCGTCCCCAAGAGGCAAGGAACTCCCCCTTATGGGTAGACGCACATGGGGCCGGCCGCCCCCAAGCCCTCTCACCTCGGACACCCCAGCATATGAGCACAGGTTGGGCCAGAGCCAGGCCAAGCCCTACTAGGTACACCATACACAGACAAACGTCCCGAGCCACTATGACGCTGAAGGATGCCCAAATCTCAGATTGGCGGGTCGGAGGGGACGCAAGAGAGCACTGCGCACGTCCCCTTGCTTCTTTTCCATGTATGTCTACGCTTTCGGCCGGCCTTGACTCGAGTTGATGTCAAACTATCGCAAGCTTGGACTTTGCATGTCTCTGTTCTGTTTGTTCTGTTTGTTTTTCCTTTCATTAGCATTTGCTATCTGTTTTTATCCTCTACTTGGGTACCTGACGGTTCCAGAACTGAGCCACGGGCCCAGCAGGGGGGAAAGCCCGGTGACTACCGTAGCGAGACTCGCCAAATGCTCTCTTTTTTCTCCGGCATGTCTGTCCGTCTGTCTCCCCCTCCCCCTCTCGCTTTCTACTCTTTCTACGCTTGTGCCCCTCACTGCTCGCTCGTTTGTGGCGTCCTTCATCGTGAACCCCATTCAAGTGGCTGTCAGAAAAACAGGGACGGCAAAGTCACCTCAACAGGATTATTGTGGCAGTCAGTGCTATAAGAATGATTCCTATTGTGTAATAATACATAGGAATGCCCAATAAGTACTTAAAAAGTCATTATCGTTACAGATTATTCTCTCTCGATATCGTAGCCTGTTGGAAAGATAGAAACACCTTTTCAGTCCCTGTTTTTCTGACACCCACTTGCCCATTCTGCCTCTCGTACCTCTCTTCCTTGAAGAATAAGACGTGCGGTCGGTAAAGACTTATGAAAGAAATTTTGTCTTCACAAAGCAAGCAGTATCCTTTCATACCACTTCAAGCCCTCACAACTCTCAAACCCCTCGCAACCCTCGTGGCGATGTCTTGCAGATCATAGTTTTCAATAATGACATCGTGCTCCCCTGGTCCTGGCGGTCGAAGGAAGAGATCCTGGAACTCCAACCGCAACGCACCGCCGCTGGTGACTTCATACGACTCAGCGAAATAAGGATTCGTACTCCCAGGAACCCGTGTAATGGTGATGACCTGGTTAGACTGCGGGTTCTGACGAGAACTAGCCCTTGTGGTCGTGGCTCCGACTCGTTCAGGCCGCGGAGGCTCCTGCCACTTCTCGATGATGACGGTTGACGGGCCATCTGCCTTGACGAGGAGGACGATCTTGACCTGGTGGTCAGAGGCCTCGAACCACCATGCCATGTGCCGTCTCATCTCTTCCAGGGACATGGAGTGCGAGCCTTCGACAATGAGGTTCGGCCATTCCGTGTGGCCTTCGCCCAGCGTGAATAAGCTTCCGCTGGAATCAGCCTCGCCTTCGCTCCCGCCAGAGAGTGCCGTGAAAGTCGCAGCGCCCGAGCTTGCCCAGTGCCGCTTCAACCCCATTTTTCTAATTTCGAGACAGATATCTAGGTATAGGTTGATGTGCAGCTGCTCATGAGTGCGCGTATTGATTGCGACGATCAAGAGTTCCTCTGCTGGGTAGTACCGTCTGAACCGATATTTGCGTCTCTTGTAGCATCTGTACTTCTTGAGGCGTTCATAGGTGGAAACAGATACATCTAGAGAGGTGAGAAAGTTACAGATATAAGAGACCACTCAGAATATGCTCTTACCTCTGACATAGAGAGCATCACACTCGGAAAGATTGGATTCATCGATGGCCTTGGTAAGAGCTTGAGGCGAGGTGAACGAGATGACTCGCGGCTCATCTGGCGCGACGGATGTCGCAGCTTGTGAGGCTGGGGATCCCCGTTTACGCTTGGGCATACTGCAGAGAGGGCAAGCGACTGGCATAAAACATGGCCCAGGGGTGAATTTCGACACAACATCAAGAAGTAAACACAATAGCAAGCTTGATATCGTAGAATAGTTTATTATTTCCTTGTTATTGTGTTTATTAATAAGGAAATTAGGTCCCGACCTTAGAAAAAAAGGGCTTTAGCGTGCTATGTTTACTTTCAACCATCGAACCTTTTCGCGCACCCAGGTAAACAAAGTTCACAAAGGTAGCCCGTGCGGGCGAATATCATGGATGAAGGAGAAGCATGAAACAAGTAAATATAGAATAGATACATAACGGCTCGAAGCAGGAATCGCCAACAGCGCCACGACAACATGAAGCAAATTCCCATTCCAAAATCACGCTCAGGGGCTGGTTGTTCTCGCAGTCTGTCCTTATTACAACCCAGCGTGTAACCGTGTTCGAATTTATGCGCCATTCCCATACAAATTGTTTGTTAGTTGATTAAAACCCGAGGCTTTCTGCCCAACAAGACTAAACCTCATGCTCGCTACGGCCAAGTAGAGGCCCAGCTGCTGTGTAAGGTAGTCATAGATCTAAGTTCATGCAGGAGATGTACAATAAGCGAGCGCTACCGAGACCTAAGCTCTGCAGCCAGTACGTTCCACAAGGTGGCACAGCACAACGTGGGTATTATGCGCAGCCCGGGAGAGGCTGGTCCCGCCAAAAACCAAGGAGATCAGAAACGCCTGGGGGTGTTCTCTCGTGGCTTAGAGCCACTCCAGCCCCCTTTGCGACGTCCACAACTCCGAGACAGGTCAGACACAGCCACAGCTGTATGCATGAAACTTGCAGCAAAGCTTTCGATCATGGTAGGACCATTGGGTACAAAAAGGCCGATACCTGCGTTAGAGTCGGCTTTCAATACCTGCGTAGTTACTGTCCGCTGCCCAATGAGAGTCTGGCCATACCATCCGAATCGCCTCCCAGATATGGCTGTGGTAGGTCAGCTACACGAACAATTAACAGCAGGGGAAACTCATCGGCGATTCTCACCTGACATGGATGATCTCCAGGCCATCCTTGACCTCCTGTGGCAGATCTTTCACATCTTTTCGGTTCTGTGCAGGTAGTAACACCGTTTTGACGCCCGCTCGTAGTGCTCCAATAAGTTTCTCCTTGATACCTCCGACGGCGGTCACTCTGCCACGAAGGGATATTTCGCCCTGTATGACTCGCATTAGTATTTATTGCTTCAAGTCATGAGAGACATTTTCAAACCCCCCGTGGGTACAAGGTATTGACTTACTGTCATGGCCATGGTCGGTGGGACAGGTTTTCCTGAAAACAGAGAGATGAGCGCAATCGCTTGGCCAATGCCGCTACTGGGACCGTCCTTGGGTATGGCGCCGGAAGGACAGTGCACATGGATGCTTCGCTCCTTCATGATGTCGGTTGTCGGCTCTGGGGTAAGGCCAAGCTCATAGGCATGGGCCTTCACCCAAGTGAGGGCAACCTCGACGCTCTCCTTGAGAACATCTCCAAGCTTTCCGGTCAACTGAACCCTGCCGTTGCCGGGCATATCAGCCACCTCGATGAAGAGAATACTACCGTTGCCCCCTGAGCTATAAGCAACCAGTCCGGTCACGATGCCCGGGCGACTAGACTTCTCGGCAATCTCTTCCTCAAAGCGCTCAATCCCCAAGATGGCCTCCAGGTCGTCAACCTCGAGCTGTGGTTTGTACTTGTCGAGCGCGTTGGAGTCCTTCGCCTCTGCGAATTCCACAGCCTTCGCACGACACACAGAGCCAATCTCACGCTCGAGGTTGCGAACCCCTGACTCACGGGTGTACGACTCAATGATCTTGGACACAACATCTTGGTTGAAGTACACCTGGTCCTCGGCCAGTCCGTTGACCCGAATCTGTTTGGGGATCAAATGCTGTACTGCGATGTGACGCTTCTCAAGTGTTGTGTAGCCTGGAATGTAGATCATTTCCATACGGTCGAGAAGGGGTCCAGGGATTGTATCAAGCGAGTTGGCAGTGGCGATGAACAGAATCTTGGAAAGATCAATTGGCATACCCACGTAATGGTCGTGAAACGTGTGGTTTTGTTCTGGATCAAGGACCTCGAGCATTGCAGCTGAAGGATCGCCGTGAACACTCGCAGCTCCAACCTTATCGATCTCATCCAACAAGAAAACTGGGTTAGCGACGCCGACCTTGCGTAGACCTTGGACAATGAGGCCAGGCATAGCCGCGACGTATGTTCGCCTATGGCCCCGAATTTCGGCTTCGTCCCTCACACCTCCCAAGGAAATGCGGTGAAACTTTCGTCCCAGCGCCGTCGCAACGGATCTAGCCAGACTAGTCTTGCCTACTCCAGGGGGACCTACAAGGAGCATAATGGGGGATTTATCAACCATTCTCTTTGACTTGAGAACCTGGAGCTTTGCAGAGTCCTGCAGGCTGGGTTTAATTTGAGGCACATGGTCATCCAGCTCGTCCTCCATCTGAGTAGAACCGGCGGCAGAAGAAGCTTCCTCCTCCTCAGCCTGCTTGATTTTTGCATCAACGCCATCGTTGATAGACTGCTTCAGCCTAAGAACAGCAAGATATTCGATCAGTCGCTTCTTGACTTTATCCAGACCGTAGTGATCCGTATCGAGCTGCTTACGGGCTCTGTTCAACGTCTCCGGACCAAGACGGTCTTCAGTGACAGCAGCCCAGGGAATCTCCGACAAGGTTTCCAACCAAGTTCGAGTGACTTGGTACTCTTGGTTCATGGGCATCATCTTTGAAAGGCGACGAAGTTCCCTGTCCACTGTCTTGGACACCTCTTGAGGCAGCTTTGCAGCCTGCAGCTTCTTCTTCAGCTCTTCCAATTCATTTGCCTCCTGGTCCCCGTCCTGATCGTTGTTATTAGGCATCTGCCCCTGGGGTGGGACAAAGGCCATCCCCGGCATGCCTGGGAACGAGTTATTCTTTCGCTGGTTGTCATTCAGGCGGTCCAGAATTTGAACTGGAACTGTGGTGAATGCCGTGATCTTGAAATTATTCTTGATGCCTCCCACTTGGCGATCGAGGAGCTCAATGACCTTTGTGATCCGGACCTTGACATCCAAAGCAGCCAAAACTTCCAACTTCTCTTCATGGGTGGTCTCCACCAGATTGGACATGAAGTCAGCCAATAGTCCCGCATCTTTGAACTCTCTCCTCATAATCAGCATGTCCAGTCGCTTTGTTATCGAGGGGGCCAGCGTCGGCCCACCCTTCGTTCGGGGTAGTAAGGATGAAATTCGAAGGATGGTGACCAGCTCCCTAGACTTGGCTTTCAGAAGCTGGAATAGCTCGTGTAGCTGTTTATCTGAAGGGTTGACTATCTCAGGCGTCAGTGGTTTCATGATTTACAGAACCGGGGGCGGGGGGCACATACCCTCGTCAGTGAAGTACGTGACATTTCCTTCAAAGAAAGGACGCTCCTGGTATATTCCATCAAGTCGTATGCGCGCAGTACCCTCCACTCTCAGAGCAAACTCTCCAGATCCGCGGCCATCAACACCGATTATCTTGGCAGCGACGCCAAAATTGTAGAGGTCCGCGGTTTTGGCACTCCCGGGGTTGATGTCATCAGACTGTGAACTGTCGACCTCCTCGCCATTGTTTATGAGTAGCTGCCCACTCGGACCAACATGGGGCGATGATATGGGAACGCAACAAATCGGAACTTGGTCTATGCGGCCCTCGGGGCCCTTCGCGGCGGCACGCTCGTACACATGAGCGAGCAACGCTGGGATGTCCGGTCGGCTTGAGGTGACAGGAATTCTCTGCACTAGACCGGGGAGTAGAACGGTCCCTCTCGCGAGGGGAATAACTGGGAGGCTCGCAGTCTGGTTCCTTGCCATGGCAAGACGGTCGTCGTGTCGCGCCGATAGTTAGGGGGTTATAGATAGCCGGTCACGAGATCGGAACGCTTCGAAGGAGATGCGAGGTGAGAGATGTCCCTGCGACAGAATAGTAATTGGGATTGGCCTCCTGGATGGTGATGGCTACAATCGCGATGGAAAGCGCTGGAATAATGCCGTGGAGACGAAAGAGGATGAGGATGGGTTGTCAAATCCAAGGATTGGCGACGTATTGACCAAGCTTATGAGTCCCGGGACCCTTGCAAGAAGCCGGGGAAGTTGTTCCCGCTGCACCATTACCTGTTCAGCGGTCATAGCACGCTTAATAATCCCTACCTGCCGAGGCTAAATGCAGCTCCCCATAGAATCGGGGTACAGGTTAAACAAGGGAACGCATCTTCATTGCAGCAGCCTCTCTATGACGCCCATTTTCTTGTTAACCAGGTACTTGCATTCGAGGGATTCCGAACTGCGAGTCAATTCCGCGATGTTGACATCCACGTGAAGAGAGGCCGTATCCAACGACGCCCACCAGCCGTGCTGTGCTATAATGTTCATACCTGATCCAACGGCGCCAATATTAAGTGGGTAAACAGTTGATGTTCTGGGTTCTTCCACCACCCATTCGCTCCGGCCCGACGAGAACGCGGAACGCCTGACCGAGGTTCATCAAGGTATCATAGCTACCAGATCGTTAGAGTCGCTCCTTGTGGGCCTTCTATGGACAAACCGAAGGCACACAATTACTTCATCATCATACGTCCGATGGGTGATTGGCCAAAGTGTCAATGGTTGCATCAATAAATTATATTCATTGATTCGTTTCCATCATGATGTCAATTCATGACTATCCAATCAACACCACACTGCGGGTGTTCTAACAGCCCATGACAACGTAACATCGTTGCCAATCCAGTTCTGTCTGTCAATGAGGACTAGTCATACTTCTAGCACACAAACAAGACTCTATTCGTTCGCCGCTTTAAAAAGCATATATTGGGAATCGCGATAACTTAAGAGGAGCCGACAGTCTCGGGGACCTTGTTGGCGTCGTAGCCAACGCTCTCCTTCAGGGATTCAACCAGGGCGACGTACTGCTCTTGGGCCTTCTCAGGCGTAAGACCCGCGTCGGCGTGCTTCTTCCAGGCGTTCTTCTTGGCCTTGCCCTGTATAATCATACAAGCCAATGTCAGTCACAATACTTGATATATGGGTAATTCGAGGGGATGGGCGTAATTGCTTGCCTTGAGATCGAACATGCCTGGGTCGGGGCTCTTAGAGAAATCCTCGCCAGTGCCGACCTTATACAGAGCTAGTAACTAGCATGTTAGCGGCACCTTCGGATACCACGGGGAGGCTTAACGATCGTACCATAGAGTTCGAGGAGCTGGTCGTTGGAGGGCTTGCCTGTCAACTTTCGGGAGTCCTCGACAGCCGTCTTGAAAGCCGCGCTCTGCTCAACAGCCATGATGCCGGATGTTAATGTGATATATATATAAATATATTAAGTCTAGGGGAATCTTTGATTGAATGTGATCTCGATTCCGGATGATTGATGCGCTTCTGAAGATGAAGAATGAGAAATACAGGAGGTGGGACAAACGGCTGTTGAGCTTTTAGAACTAATTGTTGAGAAGGAACCACGAGGACAGCCGATGCAGCGGGGTTGTTGCACCCCACATGACAACATTGGAACATGGAACCCCTCCACGCCAACGCAGCTTGCTACAGCAGGGTAGGCAGGTACCTACCAGCAGCCTAGGTCCGTTGCCCCAAGCTCGTGCCTCTGCAGGTGCCTGCTGCCATCAGCTCCAGGTACTTTGCATCACAGGTGCGTGATTGCATGTGCTGGGCTGACTAACATGTAATCTCCAACCAAACACCTCTGTCCGGCCCCACAAACGCGGGGCAGCAGACCGTTAATTGATTTCCACGGTCGCGCGTCACAGAACGCGTCTACCGTTCTTTCTTTCACATCACCAATTACACCTATTCACTCCAACATAATGTGTACGCAGATCCCATATGATTTATATTGCCTTGCAAACTAACAATATATATCTCTGAGCAGCAGCATACGGGAACCAATACAAGAGCGGTTTCGGCGGCCAAAACGATGACGGCGGTGGCTTTTTCGCCGGTAGCTCTCAACAGGGCAGCCAAGGTGGTGCACAAGTAAGTCGGTCCCATTTTCTGATCGAAAGCTTCATGTTGTTGCATACTGACGCACATCTTCTGCTACCAGGCCAAACAGGAAAAGTCGCTGCGTCCAGTGACCATAAAACAAGTTCTGGGCGCCGAACCCATCCCAGGCGGCGAGCATTTCAAGATTGACGGCGCAAATATCGATCAGATCACTATTGTCGGACAGGTCCGCAGCATCAGTGCACGACCAACGCATCTACTGGCTCAACTGGACGATGGCACTGGTCAGGTTGAAGTACGCATGTTCACCAATGAAGAAGCCAAGGTGTCGGAGGATTCATACGAGCCCAATTCTTTCGTTCGCGTCTTCGGCATTATCCGATCCTTCAACGATAAGCCTTCGATCACTGCCTACTCTATGCGAGCAGTACCCGACTACAACGAAGTAAATTACCACCTTCTCGAGGCTACCCATACCCACCTCTTCTTCACCAAAGGCCCCCTTGATCAGGAAGGACGTGCTGGCAACGAGGAGCCGAGCATGTTTGTTGGCGGCGCTGGAGGCGGAGCAGGCGGTGCTAGCGCGGGCAATAACTCGGACTCGAGATTAGGGAACTGCTCTCAGAACGCGCGAAAGTTCTTCAACTTCCTCAGCAACGTGCAAGGTAACGAGGGCGCGAACATCAACGCTATTGCAAACCAGCTCCAGTTCACCATGAGCGACGCGCTGAAGGCATCCGAGGAGCTATATAGCCAGGGTGTGATTTATAACACGATTGACGACGAAACTTGGGCTATTCTGGAATATGATTAAGGATTGCAACAAGTATAACCGCGGCTTGAGCGCACGTTAGGGTCTGTTTTTGGTACGAATTGACATTTTGGAACACGGTGTTCAGGCTTCTAATAGACGAAAAAATATTGGAGATATTTTCCCCCTTGGCTCATTAAACCCTTCTATGCCATAAGCACTATGACCTTCCTACCTATATTTAACAGATGAGTGCCATTACGCTCCGTAGTTTGACACGCGATGCAAACTATCGGCAGGCTTTACGGTCTACAAAACCATGCTAGCGTACTTGAAATTCGTCTAAGAGATGTGAAGTAAGTCAAAGATTCTTGGGCACAAGCTAAGAATGGGGAGCTCTGTGTAGCAAACCTTACCCAGTTTCTTTGACATTCAGTACATTAAGTATCGTCAGAAGGGAACCAACCCACGTTCGTTTACGATAGAGCGACATATGTAAATCCGTAGCCCAGTTGACACTCCGAAGTGGCCGGCGTAGGACAGAGGGTAGTAAAGTGAGCAGCATTTAGGGACATGAGGGTCTCCGTTATAGATATCGAGTAGCCAGATTGAAGAATTATGATGTATCACAGTCCGCTATGATTTCTCCGCCGAGGAGATCATGATATAACGTCATTGGTCGAGGTATAACCCCGAGGCGCTTGTCCTACCACATATGAAACCCACTTGTCACTCAAGGTATCCCTTTGCTTAGAAGTTGCTTAGAAGATATTGTCAGCGTTTGAACTCCGTCATCCTCATTGTTCGTCATCTAGCTTGAAAACCAATAGTTATTCGAATGAAGCCTGGATTCAGATAGAATACCATGGCCATACTTCGGGTATTGTCTGGGCACTCTCCGATGCTTTGAAACCGCTCGCTCAAACCGTATGATATGCAGCTTGTCAGATGGTCAACGCCATATGCGCAAGGACACACACGGACATTTAAGTACTTTGGCCTTGCAGGTTATCATTCGATATTCATAACCCGATACGCAGTCACTTGCAACAACACACAGGCGTGGTCAAATAAAATGCCTTCTGCCCTGCGTTTGGTCCAACACAAAGGGATGCATGTACTACGTAAGCTTCATTAATGTTATTCCGATCTTATCAACGCCACCTTAAACGACTCCATCGAGGCTGAAAGAATATTGGATAGGAAGAGGAAGTAAATCCTTGGATATCTAAAGTGGTGCCTACATGCCTACATGTCAAGCCACCTGAACTCGTAACGCATAGCAGTCCCCGTTGTGTTCGCCGGGCCATTCTGAATGGCTCAGCACCATTTTTACATGCGGCGGATCTCCTGCTCGTTGAGATACTTCTCCAGACCCCCATCAAGCTTCTGCCACCACTCAAATAGCATCGAATCGCAGATGAGCTTGAACCAGGGCGTGAACTTGAGGCTGGGGTCCTGGAACTGCTGCTTCAGAGACTCGGGCGTGACCCACTGGATAGCCCGTACTTCGTTGGGGTTGGGGTGGACATCGACCTTCGCCTTGATAAATAGAATGTAGTCAACTGTGCCTGGGTCAGTAACAAAGTTGAATGAAAGCCATGAGGTAACCTACTCTCGTGCTCGCCCCATTTTCCGTCGCTGGGCGCCTTGTAGTGAATGCGAGTGAGGAAATGGAAGTCCTCGAATGGGACCTGCTCCTTCTTAATGCCAAGCTCCTGGTCGAGCTTTCGCTGCGCAGCCCGCTTGACGCCCGCAATCGCATCTGGGAGGTTGGATCCAGTCTCGCCTGGTATTCCCAGGGGGTGGGAGCAGCAGGTATTGGTCCAGAGATCGGGGAAGGTGATCTTCTCAGTCGCCCGCTGCTGCAGAAGCAGTTCGTTCTTTTCGTTGAAGAGGAAGACGGAGAATGCACGGTGGAGGAGCCCCTTGTCAATATTGGACATGAGGTGGCCTACAGAGCAATATATTAGCATTAGCTAGCAACCACGCAGGTTTTGAATCGGGAGACGCACAAATCTTCTTGCTGGCCTTTCCAATTGGGACATCGTTGTTGTCGAGAACAATGCAGACCTCGTCCATCAGCCGAATCTGCTCCTCGTCGTGGCCGCTCAAGGCTTCGTCGTTGGTATCGATGTCGGGGAAGAGACGCAGCATGGTCTCGGCCGTGATGGCCTCGGTGGTAACCGTAGTTGTGGTCATTTTGATTTGGATTGCGTGCGTATGCAGTACGGGCGAGTTTGGTTAAATTAGAGGAGTATTATCGACATCGACAGCGACAGTGGCTTGTATGAAGAAGTTCAACATCCGGGAGATTTGCCCCAAGATTTGCCCCTCCATCTCCCTAATTGTTGGTCTAATTGCAACCACATCAACAGGTACCGCTACCTCCCCCCGTTGAGTGTGGGGCACCTCCACCCTTTCGGGTTCCTTAGAACACTGTCACGGGAAGTATCGGTCTTTGTTAGTTATAAGGCTGTCTTCATAGGCCAATATCTTCGCTGCCTTTCGTTTAATTCGTCAGCCTGGTCGTTTGCTGGTAGAGAGCGGAGCCTAATGTATCCGGGATATGCACCTCATCTTGGTCTCGTGCCTAAGATTGTTTCTACACCGCTCGGCTTTAGTGCTGGACAACCTAGTGGTACAGGTCACATTCAGAAGCTTGGAGGTGGCGGGGTGAAACAAAGGAACTTTAAACATGTAGTCTACATCGGCAGCCACAATAGTGAAATGAAAACCAATCGGGCCAAATGTCTCGCATTATTCCAGACTCCATGTAATCTTTTCGGAGACTTGGAAATTTGCCGTAGGGTAGGCACCTCAAGCAAAGTGTTGCTGAAGATGTGGAAGGATTGCTGACTAACAATTGCGTGGGGCGGTGCTAGTAGGCTGGCGCATGCAGGAACTCGGCCGTATCGTACAAACGGGGCCTACGCCTCCTGTCAATCTAACGTGGGGATCTACCGTGTATGATGAGGCTGGGATGTTCGTCATGACCGACTGACTATATGCCGCCTAATTCCCCGTTACCTCCTCGGCCTCACTATCTGCGAATTCCATAGCTATCCTTAATTGCGGCTCTTTTGCGTCCTTGTTCTATAATCTTCTTCAATTGGATCCGCCCTCTTGTTGGTCCCCACGGAGCTATCGAACCACCTGTCTCCCATCTATCTTATCCCACCCTCGCCGTGAGGTCCGCAACGCCATCATGGCTCCCAAGATCGAGGCGCAAGAAATCGAAACATACTGGAATATTTTCTCGACCCGAACAGGCGGAGGGAAATTTCTTACCGGTGAACAAGCCGCACCGGTATTGAAAAACAGCGGTCTCCGAGATGATCAGCTAGAACGAGTATGGGACCTAGCAGATGTGGATAATGATGGAAACTTGGACTTTGAGGAATTTTGCGTTGCTATGCGAGTGATATTCGACGTGCTCAACGGGGTATGTGAGGATATCCGACCGATCCATCCCATCTAAAAACGTGCGGTTACTGATTTACATGAGTTTAAAGGAGTATCAAGATGTACCCAAGACCCTTCCCGACTGGCTAGTCCCAGAGTCCAAGGCGCATCTCGTCCAGGCCACCCGAGCGATCACAGGCAAGCAACCGCAGTTCGAACAAGTGGAGGACGAGTCAGAAGACCTTGGCCTGAAGGACGGCTTTGACTGGTACATGAACCCAAAGGACAAGGCAAAGTACGAGCAGATCTACCAAGAGAACCGCGATATGCGGGGAGAAGTACCATGTGCGCCCTTCCACCAATTTCCCTGAAGCATCCTGAATCAAGGTGAATGCTAACCCCCAAGTAGTCAATGCGCTTGAAGACCTCTACGAGTCGCTAGATGTCCCCGATACCGACATCCGCTCTGCCTGGAATTTGATCAACCCATCCGCGTCGGCCGCCATCAACAAAGACGCATGCCTGGCCTTCCTCCACATCCTAAACAATAGACACGAGGGTTTCCGCATCCCTCGCACAGTTCCCCCATCCCTGCGATCGAGCTTCGAGCGCAACCAGATCGACTACCAGGTCGACAACCAGCGGGGCGGCGTGAACTCCCGCTGGGCAGCAAAGGCCGACGAGTCCACCAGCACAGGTCGAAAGGCCAAGTTCGGCGAGCAGTACCTGACGCGCCTGGGCCGTAGTGGGTTCCAGACCTCAGGAACAGACTTCTCCACCGAGAAGACGGAAGACTGGGAGGAGGTGCGACTCAAGCGGCAGTTACAAGACCTGGACGAGAAGCTCCAGAAAGTCGAGGAGGTTGCCGAGAGGCGGAAGGGCGGCAAGCGCGACTCAAAGCCCGCGCTTGTAAAGAAGGAATTGGATCAGCTGCTTGAGTACAAGCGTCGGCAGTTGAGAGAGCTGGAGGAGGACTCGGGGAAGGGCTCCGGCGGTAGCTTGAAGAGCATCTCTGATGATCTGCAGACTGTACGGGAGCAGGTTGAAGGCCTCGAGTCGCATCTGAGGACCCGTCAGCAGGCATTGGATGAAATTCGGCAGCAGATTGACAATGAGAAGGCAAGGTAAATATTCGGTGGGAAAGGGTTGTCGTGGGGATGCTGTGAGGTAGAGAGGGTATATTGAGAATTTACGCTGTATCACAACTATTAGTGGCAAATACATATTAGACAAAGCTGCGCCAAACACTCTCGCACGTCCCTCTATCTCCCGAGGCTATCTGGATGCTGACAGCACCTACTTGTAGTGTGAACTGCCTCTCTACTAGAGGGGCATTTCATTTATTGATATCAGGGCCATAAACCGCATCTTCGAATTTGCACCCTCCGATTCAAAGTCGGTCTTGATATTGGTCACACACCGGGACGACCAACATTGAACTTCGATATTAAATGAAAATAATTGAACAAATTGTCAAGATAGGTAGCCATCATAAACTGGTTTACTGTCAACTTACTGCGGCGGTTACGATTGCCAGTTAGAAAATGCCGAATCTATAACTTGCACGATAGGATAAAGCCCAAATGTTATTGGCCGCTTGGCTGGTTACGCTGTCGTACCTCATCGAACCCATTTGCCTACCTTAGTCTTTTGAATGACCTGGCCTGAAAATATCCCTCCATGAGTCCTCCAGAAAGAGATGGGACGGGTTGCTGTCGGACCATGGGGAAGAATTGTACAAGAAAATATCAATGGACAAAGGTTGTCATCTTGAGGATGCTGTGGATCGCGGTTCCTTAGGAGTAGTATGTGCGTTCCCAAGCAAGCTTAAGATCCGAGTCAGAATCGAGGTTGGTTTGGTTGTTTCGGCGGGCCTTTCGGCCCTGAGGTTGAGTTTCCTCCCTCGTGATACTAGTAACCCAAGTAGCCTGAATTGATGTTTGTTTTGCCGCTTCCAATGTTCGTATGTATGAAATGCCTCTCGTTATCGTAGTTCCATGAGGATATCTTCCATTGGGGTTTCCTTGAGTTCATCTCTCCTTTTCTCGTGGATCCTTTCTTCGATCTTGACCAATCCAAGTTGCCTGCAGCTTTCTTGGAATTAGGCTCCTTGGAGAGGTTTGGTCAGACCTACGAACGTTGGAAGCGGCAAAACAAACGTCAATTCAGGCTACTTAGGCCACTAGTATCACGAGGGAGGAAACTCAACCTCAGGGCCGAAAGGCCCAACGCAAACTAATAAAAGAAAATTGCACCAAGATCGTTCCCATAAAACGCATTCCCAAACAGACCACAATTTGGAGGGAATTGTTTTTCTACGTCAAAGAGCAAATGAGGCGTACGCAGGCGGGAACTTTGAATGGTGGACCAAGGATGGGGAGCAATGTGAAGATTTCGGCCTATCCCGCATGCTACCCGAGTCTTCTGCAACCCAACAATCATGGATGCAGGGCGGTATTTGTACATGTACAACAGTGGTCATGGGTCTACAGTCTCTTCACTTGGTTCAGGTTGGTATCGTGTGCAATGCTAAGTAATATTGTATGTATACTAGGGCCATTAGGTTAATACGTACAGAGCGAGCTTGGGGCAAGCCCTCTTTGTCTCACATTAGAATGATAACTATCGTCAGGCGGCAGAAGGTATAAAATGCAAAGGAAAAATTATGTACCCATCCGAAACACGCAAACACCGTCCCCTCATGTGACCAAACGCTCACTTGCAACAAGAACTGAAAACAAAAGTCGTCCAAACTCCATGGTATTTTTGTGGAGCCGTACGGGAAAGAAGAGAATCTTGCACATGTTGGTTACAGGACACGGCCTGCTAGAGTAATTCAGCGTGTTCAGCTGCTCCGTTCATAGGACTCATCAAGTCGTGGCCATGCCGAGAAGATGCTGGATTCCATCCTCTCTCATTGATAAATCAATCCACCTCCTTCTCCTTCCGATTTACCTCCAAGTCAAGAAGGTGCGGTTTAGAGCAGGGCGGCAAAACCAGCGACAGCAAGGAGGAGGGGCATGGCAACCCCGGCGATGGAAGCACCACCGGTGGGGGTGGCGGAGGTGGCGCCAGGGCCAACAACAACAGTAGAGCTCACAGTGACGACTGGCTTGCTGGTGGCGGTGCTGTTAGAACCAGACCCGGGAGTGGAGACAGGCGTGGAAGCCTTGCTGGAGCTGGGGGTGCTAGAAGGCGAAGGAGTAGGGGTGATGCTGGCAGGTGCTGAGGTGGTTGAAGCAGCAGAGGACGAAGACGAAGGAGCCGATGAGGTAGAGGTGGAGGACTTTGAGGCGCTGCTGCTGGTGACCTTGGGAGTGTGAAGGCTACCGGAAATGCTATAAGCAGCGGCGCACTGAGCGAGATCCATAGAATCAGGGCAGCACCAGGTCTGGTTGGCAGAGTCGTTGGTGCAGTAGAAGCCCTTCTCGCAAGAGTCTGTCCTAATGTTAGCTTTGCCTATATATGGTAACACGGCGTGTCTATGCAGACACAAACGATGGTGTTAGTCGGGGGAAAACGTACTGCCAGTGCCATCACCACAGCACTTTTGGGCCTTATCCGGGTTGTAACAGTGCTTGGTATCGCCGTTGGCAGCGCATTCGGTGTAGCCCTGGCCACAGGCCTCGGCGCAAGTGGTGCCATCACCACACTGAGTTTGGTCAGGAATATAACCACTAGTGTCACGACGACCAAGGCTCATGCCGAGAACAGGCATCATAGCAGGACGGTAAGGCTGAGGCTCAGCAGCGGCGCTGGCAGTGCCGGCCAGAACGGCGAAGGCGATGGCAGATCGGAAGAGCATTGTGAAGGTTGTTTGGAAGTTGTGTGGATGGTTGAGGAGGTTGCGTATAAAAGGTACGGAGGTACTTTGGTGATTGAGAGCAGAGACACACTTTTGAAGTCGACAAAAAGATAACAATGCTAGCGAGAGACACGAATAGGTGCTGTTCAAGGTGAAAGAGCGTGGTGCTTGTTTGGCCCAAAACGAATGAGGGGAGCGAAGCGTTGACGCGCGAGAAGCAGAAGGACTGTGCTTTGCGACGAGGAGAAGGGAAAAAGAGGATGTGCGCCAGGTGGGCAGCCGCGTGGAGGAGGGATGGGTTTAATTTCAGACAGTCGCCGGCAGGTGGTGGCCTGCAGTGCCTGCTCCATGCTGCCCGGGGTCGTGCACAGTCACGCTCGTCCTTGCCAACCTGGTCTGGGTGGTCATTTCCCCATTCGAGGGACGGGCCCTGGACTCGGTGGGCGTTCCTGAGTTATGCCGTTTGTGGCTCGTCGCCAATCTTGGCCTCATTACCTGTGTCTCCAGCGCGAGCCCAGGTGAGACCACTGATTGGCGCCTGCCGCTCCCACCAGCTCCTGCGCACTAAATCAGCTGCTCTTTTTAGAAGTGCGCTTTCATTTTATTCTGGCCAGTGCCTGCGACTACCGGCACCTGCTATCTACGTGGGAGCCCTCCATCCTATCGCTGGTGTGCCCTGGACTCGAGACACCGGGCGCGTCACCGCTGATACGTAGCCCCGTCGCCCAACCAGCAGGTATGAGCCCGACGTGTTCCAAGGCAGGACAGGTCGGGCGAGGGCCAGAAACAGCCGTTGAAGGAAGTCTCCCTTGCCCGCCCACGTTGGACAGCCCTCTCGTCCTCGTCCTCAACCTCCACCAGTCATTCAGCTTCTAGCGCCAATACCCCTGGTGCGCCTCCTCCACTGTCTGTTTGAGAATAAGGCCGGGCCCAATCAGCGGATGCGCTGCGGCCCCCAGAGCATGCAGGTCAGCGAAAAAATGGCGTCCAGGGCCAGCATGAGAAAAGGTCTGTGCTCACCGGCTCTTTAGCCCAGGAACAGGAACCTCTGGCTGGCCATTGGCGTCGCACACGCAGATTGTTCTTCATCAAGCGCGTGCGCCGTCGTTGGCCGGACAGTCGGAGGGAGGGGCACTGGTCTGGCGTTAATTTAATTGATCTTCTTCGCGAACATCGGTAGACACCGCATTTTGCCCCGCCTCTGTTGGCTGCCCGCCTGGCCCATTGTTTCCTTCCCGTCTCCAGGCGCCACCATCGCCAACAACTTCACATTGCTGTCTATTAATACATTTACGCTGCTTACATAGCACTCCTCCAGGAACATCATTCCCTTTTCAGCCTCACACCTCATTCATTTCCTTCGACTGCCGCAGAAAATTTTCCTTATTATGCTGACGCTTCCCTTTTGCTGTCAATTCCTGGCAGCATTCGGTAATTAATAGCCCTGTGGCCTGCGGGAAGGTTCGCAGATGCAGCCACCCGTGATACAGGGTTGCATTCGTAATCTGCACCACCCTCCAAAAAGGGCATCCTCAACACGACCATTGACCAAACACACACGAACCTACATCCTGCATATGCATTAAATGAGACTGTTCCCGAGAAAATCACGTACGTCATGCACTACATCGCCCTTGCATGAAGTTTGAGAGGTGTCTATCACAGTCTTCGACGAATCAGTCTGCCCTGCATAGAATATCCCAATGCTTTCATCGTGCGCCAGTAAATTATGAGTAAAACGTACATGTTGCAACCAGCTGCCACTTGCGCGCTGGAAGCCCAAGTTCAAAGTAAACGCCCGCGGATCAAAATCAAGACTATTACATGCGTTCTCCTGGTCCAACAACAATACAAGAATCCATTTGGTAGAAAGTGATATCAGGTAGCCTGGTCAATCAACACTTGTCGTGGCCACCGTTCGAATTTCAGCGTCCCATCTTCAATCTGCTTCCCTTCCTGCCTTTAACGAGACCAATCTTCTCATCAGAATTAAACACCGCTTGGGTTCGATCGAACCTTGCCATGTCCTCAAAAAACCATGTCGTGTGTACTCGTACAATTTGCCTCCCCCGTTCTTCTTATCTCGTCTTGTGTGTTTCGATTGCCTCTTATTTCACATTGCTGCGGCTACAAACCTATGGGTCGTCGCCGCCGAGCTTGGCGATCCACTTGTTCATCCCGGAGTACTTCTCCTCGAATGTCTTTTGCAGTTTCTGGCCAGCTGCCCACATTGGGTCGCCCGTCTTCCAGTAGATGAAGCAGTTGTCGAAAATCTGGCGCATGTCGACAAGAAATTCGGCCTCGTCCTTGTACTCGTGGCGGTCCATTTTCGCTTTGATGGTACCCAGGTCCATAGGTCTTTTCACCTTCTCAAGGTAGTCCGGCACGCCATCTTGTTCAGGTACAACAGGGTCTTTGAAGGGGCCGACGAGACGAGTCCAGAACCCTATCCATGGTCACGGTTAGCAAGCAAAGATACCCCAAAGAGGCTGAAACAGCACACGGCGACATAGAAACCGTGACTCACCAGGGCCCGAGAGCATCCTCGTCAGTAAGTCGGCGCAAAATTCAAGCTTCTGCGCTGTTGTGAATGAGCTTGCGTCTACCACAGTTCCACTAGGTCGACGTTTTGGCGCTTGTGATTTGGGAAGAGATGTGCGAGAAGCCTTTCGTTGCAAGGTGCCGGCGCCCTTTCCACCACCCACAGGCAACGGTACGGGGCCCAAGCCACTGCCCAAACGACCCTTCTTCGGATGAGGAGTCGATTCCTCGTCGGCCTTGTCGTCCAGATAGTGCACGTTCTTCCGGAGTGCACTGTTGAGACCACTGGGGAAAGATGCTGTAGAAGTCGGGTCGGGGGATAATTGGCCAGGTGGTTGTGTATCAAAGGAGCTCATTGTCACAACGAGCTCGCTCAGAACCTCTTGAGGGAGTGACTTGGCGAATTCGGCTCTGGCGTCGGACGACCTCATGTACTCAGCTGCCCATGATAGAAGCAGTGTTCGAATTGACGAACCCTCCGGAGTATCCTTCCACACCTGGATGAGTAGCGGCGTCGATGGTATCCGTCCGGTGATTCGTCTACATTCGATCATAGCGTCGAGAGTCTTCTCGCAAAGACCATCAACCTCAAGCTTGTGGGCAAGTTTCCACAGCCCGACTAGGGATTCGTAGGACGGTGTCTTGGAAACATCGGCAATTACTTGGCCAGTATACAAGTAATGCTGTATTAAGCCAAAAATCTCACTCGTTGCCTCTGGAAGTTTCACGATGTGTTCGACGGTATCTTGGCTCTGCTTCTCGAAATAGTCCCGGAAGAAGACCGATCGAGAGCAGAGGAAGTCTTTCTGGATCCCGAATGGTAACTCGTCGGACCCGACGAGAATTATCACGAAAATAGGGTGCGGTTGGCTAAATCATATGGTCAGGTTCCCTTCGTCTCTAAAGTAGGAGTGTACTGCTTACAGCCACGAGAAGGGCGGCGGCGCATTTACATGGCCATTTTGGCTTGGCGGCTCGACAGGCCCTGGCTTCTCATTTTCCTGATCCGACATTGTAGTTTCTAACATAATCTCAGTGTTCTGTGTTGAGACTTAATACAATAATGGATGGGCTGGGGCGCGTCAAGGCTGGGGAACAGGGATTTGCCAATCACGCTCGGTTGGATTTGAATTCACAGTGCAAGATTTTCTCTGAAAGAATTCATCTTCCGCAACAGAGCGTTTGGGGCATGGGTCTCAGAAGGTAAAGTTTGGTGCAGAAAATGAATGCCAGGAAGGTACAGGCCTTACCTACCTTATCTCATCCAAAAAACAACAGGTGCCGAGGGAGGCTGGGTTTGAATGCCCCCAATTGAAGGGTCAACAAAACCTGAACCACTCTCAATCCCAGTCTGGTAATCGATGAGAGTATCCGCTTCAAAGGTCTAAAGTAATGAGTTGGATTGGTTACAGAGACGGCGCAGCGACCTGGTTTTGTGACGACGTGATCTCAATGTTGAATGAAGTTTTGCCAGCCATGGCGTGTTGGGAGATTTGTGCCTCGTCCTGATTCGCTCTTGCTGCTTACGTGATTTATTAGCATTCCTGTGCATGGCAACATCGTGCGCTTACCCTATACACCAATCTCACCAACCCTCCAACTTCCGAACATCTGCACGACTTGCATCTCTTCAATCACCTTCAGTCCAATCCGAACACATTGATCTGTGAACATTTTTTCCGTTATCACATCTTGACCGTATGCGTATTCGCAATTTTCATACCGGTGAGTTTGTGACTTACTGTTGCTTTTCACACTGTCACCCTTACTGTGAACCCTTATGGCCATGTAATTTCAGCCAACTCACAGAGCTCGTCATCTCGGTAATACCAATTCGGACTGTCCCCGTTATGAATGCAACTCTATTGCATGATCTAGATCTACGTCCATTGATCTACAGATTCAGTGATGGAACCTTGTAAGAAGCCAGCGAAGAAAAACGACCAACCCTACGGCTTTAATTCGAGATGTGAGCTCTTATCTCGACGGGAAATATCAACTACACCATGATAATCTCAGAATACCGCTGTTCGTATTATTTGCCTCTCCATCACAAAGATGGCCCGCCTCGCTATTCTACCATGGAGACAAGAAATCATTCGTATACCGGGGTCTGCCACATTCTCTGGAGAATCTGGGATTGACGTTGCTCAACGTGTGGCGATCTGATACCTACCTAGCTAAGGATATCCCAGGTAACTGAGCCTCGCATCGCCCGGACCGGTTGCTGGTTCTGTTTGGTCCCCAGTGCTGGAACCAGAAGGTCAAACTGCGTAATCAACAGTTTGTATGAGTGAAATCACCAGTCCACATTACTGGATAAAAAATCACATCAATAACACTACAATTATTGATCCTGTCGTCATGCCATTGCAACAGAACTTACCCACCGCACGCAAGCGATCCCTGGGCTGTTACAATGGGTACATAGCAATAAGCACTATCAAGCGAGGACCATCATGCGCTGTCCCTCAAATTCCTCCCCCCATTTCTTTGCCAGCTGGGGACTGACATCATCTTCCCGGGGGAGGCCAATTAAAAACGACGCACACCCAAATTGACGGCCCGTTCGGTTCGGGGAGGACTAACCGGGAAACTCACACACAAGCACACTTGACAGCTCAGCAGTTCATGCCCGCCGGCGATTATTCTGGCATAGTACATATTCATGCAGTGACTTGAAACAAAAAAAGCTCGGAGGATTGGAGTTTCGAGCTCCATCCTGAACACTTTGCTCGCTTCAAGGCGCCCGGCCGGATACGGCACACTTCTCGGGCTAGGGCACCCCACGTGCAAATTGAATGAGGCTGTTGGAGAGCAACGACAAGGTACGTACCGTGAACAACCCCCCCATTTATGCAAGGCAATTGCATGTGGTGGGGTCATGGAACAATTTTTTCGTTTCTTTTTTTCTCCTTATCAATCAGTACTTCGGTAAATCATGTGTAAGGAAAACATGTAGCAAAAACCGCGCACACCGAATGAGTGGTTGAGAGACCAGCCACAGGTCGGGGGGATACCCAGTCCTCAGGGCGGACGGTGTGTGCCTGTTCCTGTCAAGCTCTGGTCTCCCGTCCTCGCTACAACCCTGATCCAGGCGACAAGGAGGAGGGGTTTCCTCATCACCGGGACCATGCGCAGTGGCTGATCACTGCGTCCAGATGATCTACACCCATCTGCACGTCGTCCCTGAATGCTGGTGCTGCATGAATCTGACCCTACAGAAAGAGCTTAAACATGATGGGAGAGGGAGTGGGAAAAAGCCCGACCGCCTTTCCATCGACCTGCAAGCCATCTGGACCCAAGTACCCACGGAATCACGGAATGCATCGTATGTATACAAATAGGGAAAAATCAGATCAGTCGTCACCAACGCTAGAGGCATGAGCAACTTTTCAGGGCTGCTGTTGGCTCCAGTCTTGGCGAGCTAGGGGGGTAAACTGATGCTGAAGAAAAAAAATGTTGTGCCGACTGTATCCTGTACCAATCTGCCCATTCCATTTATTACCTAACTGGTTATGTATTGTGGGCGGGCGTGGAGCACGACATGAATCCTGCTCTTTCACGATCACTGCTATCTGTCTGTGTGTTCACTCAGCGTCCGGCCTGGGATGCCAGATGGTTTCTCGAAAAATTACCTAATTTCAGAAGCCCCAGGCCAAGGAAACTAAGCGTTCACTGTTGAGGTTCTCATGACCAGAGAATCCCAGTGCTGAGGAAATTTCCATCTATTAGTTGACCCGTTTAACTGACCATGGGTTGTAGGTGACGATAAATGCCGCGCAGTTTAGGTGAGTAGAGGAGAGAGAAAATAGCACGGTGTGGCTCTAGAGGGAAATTCTCGCCGAAGGTTTCCTATGTACCTCGTCCCCACAGGTACATTATCCCGAAGGGGGTGGGATTATGGCCATCCCCCGGCACACTAATTATCCGGTGTTGCTCGTTCAGCTCAACAGCCAGCTGTTGGCGGCATGCGCGGAGGACACTTGGGATCACAATGTGCTCTGTGCTAGTTTGAAGCTCCCTCTAAGGCGCTCTGGGGTACCGCAAGCTTGCTTGGCTGTGACAATCCGCAATGCGGTCCAGAGTTTCGTCGGCTCGACCCTGCCCCATACACAACTGGGGGCATTGAGAAGCTGTGGGGGCAGATAAGCGCCCTGGATGCTTCAAATCAGTGCAGACGATGGGAGCTTGAAAAGCTCCCCCAGACTAGACCAACCTTGGACGAGCCTAGAACACTTATCAGGCTGTCAATGCTGGCTAATACTCTTATCAGTCAGTCACGGTGGAACGGAGCAAAGCCGGCGGATAAAATGCATTTGTCCAATTCAAGCTTCTGTTGGTTAAGTTGCGCCCGACTCATCGCTCGCATGTGAGCTTTGTGGAGAGCCAGCGCTCGATGGGGTTGATTTGCCAGTCAGCCGGTCTGGACCTGGATCTCCTTCAACTTCACCCTCATCCCAGTCTGAACCATCGTCACTTCGGCCAACTGCCTGGCCGAGGAGAATATCCTCGCTTCCTTGCCATTGTGAAGGTGGTGGTGGTAGGTGGGCGTCGTCCTCATTCGCCCATCCGTAATCCTCGTCGTCTTCGCTATCAGGAACCTCAAAGTCTGTGTTGCCCAGTTTCCTCTTGTGTTGCGTCATGGGTGCAATACCCGAAGATCGACGGCCTCCGCCATCGTAGCACGCGCTAGCCACGCCGTACTAAGTCTGGGGATTAATACTCGACATTCATTTGTTGGGGTTCGGGTCAGCGGGAGCTTCCTACTTACTCCGCTCACACTGAAAGCTGAGGCGTGCTCCATCATGTCTTCAGAAACTTTACCATCAAGCTTCTGCAGGCCGGCTAAGAAAATGCTGCTAGGCCTGTTATCCTGCCAGCTCCAGTCTCTGAATAGCGCGATACGCGTCGAAATATTCTGTTCCCAAACACTCGCAGCGACAGCCGGGATCAAGCTGGCTCCTCTTTCAAGTCGCATCTTAGTGGCGCATTGCGAGAGAAGTACAACTGCACACTTTCTGGTCGACGCCAATGTCTGTAAGGCTTTCATGATGGCTTGGAGAGCTTGCTGCCTCTTGGCAAAGGCACTAGGACCTAGAGGACCGATGTTAGCATGGCGAGAACGTTTGTCGATCGGTTTGCGGGATGACGGCACCTTTGTTGTGCAGCATTCCTCGTTGAGCATTTTTAGGTTTCGGAAGCACGGAATTGATCAATGTTGTGAGCGAACTAACAATGAAGAGGGAGGTGTTTTCCGGTAGCAGCCTTGGCGAAGGCTTTGACACGAGTGCGATAAAATGTGGTAAGGTTAGACAGTTGTAATGAGTGACGCCTCCTAACGCCTCCTCACTTTCTTGGGAGTCTTTGTGGGGATCAGGTTCCGAGACCTGGGATTTTTTCGCAACATCAACCACCTTGGCCATCCGATCAAGAGAGACCGACTGGAAACAGTCTAAAATTTGGCGTCAGTTTGTAGGGCCTCCGAAACGAGGATTTTGAAGTGGGATACAGACCTACCCACACGACGGTATCGCCATTTGCTAGTGCGTTCGCCGTTAACTGTATGCTTTTTGATCTTGTCAGCCGCGCAGATATCGCACAGGAGTCGTCTGGTGATCTCGTCTCACCCTATCGCCGTCTTCCCAGAGCCTGGGGGGCCCCATAGCTCAGTGACTTGGCCCCGTTTGATTCCGCCGGTGACATCCAAGTCCTGTGACTCTGAAGACGTCGCGCTCTGCAATTTCTTGTCCAGGTCTGGCAGCCCAGTTGAAACGTACGTGGACGAGTCATCTTTCAACTCGTCTAGTATGGCAGAAGCGCTCACCGTTGGCAGTCGGTCTTCCGTGTCTTCCGTTAGTCCTCGGATCGTGAATGGGATGCACATATCGAACTCACGCGAACTGGGCACATCGAAGTTGGCGACGTCATGACCATGAATGGAATGGTAATCCATTTCCTATCACATTCAACCCATCCATCCGAATCTGCTCTAGAGAACGAGCGCTGAAGTAGTGAATGTCGAGTTTGTATCTCCCTTTCCTTCCTCGTCTCTCAAAGAAGTTTGGTATGGTAATCACGATAGCTCAAGGATAATCACGTTCATTTGGCAGGCTGCCGACACGTCGTCACGTGAGCAACCCCACGGGTAGGTATCTTATCGTCCTCCACTTTCACATGCACATTCAAGCCAAATCAATATGAATCTTGTGAAGATGCATAGGTGCGCAGTAGCTGGCTTTGTTGTCATTTATTGTGAGAAACCCGGTGAGTGCAAATCATTCTAATGCCTGCCTCTGTAGACCCATCCGACGCCTGCCCTAGGCGCTTGAGCCAAAGCGACCGACATGATCAATTGGCTCCAAACTTTCCATCATTCAGATCATCAGAGCTAATAACACCCGCCTCTGGCCATAGGTACCATGGCACTCTAAGATGGCCCAAGGCTACGCTAGCCGGCATCCCATGCCCTGGGTCATGTGTAAGGGCAAAATGTTACTCACGTTCAATGCAGCACATCATATGCTATTTTTTCGGGGTTCCTCTTCTGTATGGCAAGCACCTGAGGAGGGTCTCGGGAAAGTTCGGAACTGCTACGTTGTGAGATCGCGATGCCCTCGAGCCAGCCCCAGTGAGACTCCCAAGACCCTCCTCCGCTTGATTCCTCCTCCCTC